GAACTGCATCAGGTTCCACAGGGCCTAGATCTCATCTGGAAGAGCGTTCCACCAAGCTGGGGCCAGAACTGAGAAGGCTCTGGCCCGGGTTGAGGCAAGATGAATACCTTTTCGGCTGAGGACCACAAGAAGGTTATTGTTCAAAGAGCGCAATGCTCTCTTTGGGGGGGAAGGCATACCAGGAGAGACGGTCTAAAAGATATGTTGGTCTCAGACTGTGTAGGGCTTTGAAGGTTAAAACCAAGACCTTGAATCTGATCCAGTATTCAGCTTGGAGCCAGGGCAGCTGGCGGAGCACCGGTTGTTTGTGAGCTCTGAATGGAGTGGTTGTAAGCAAAGGCACTACCGCATTCTGGACCAGTGAAGAGTTTCTGGGTTAGTCTCAAGGTCAACCAGTGTAGAGCAAGTTACCGTAGTCTAGTCTGGAGGTGACCGTTGCCTGGATCACTGTGGCTGAGTTGTGGCGAGACAGGAAGGGAACCAGTTGCTGGATCGGGTACAGGTGGAGAAATCCCAGTCTGGCGACATGTATAATCCGAGCGTCCCTTGAAAGGGAGGCATGCAGTAACACCCGTAAGCTCACCATTAAGGGCTGGAAGTTGGCATCCCAACCTGGAGTCTCCCCGGCTCAGCCACAGGTCCTCCAGCCAACCAACCAACCACAGCCTCTAGACCAGAGATGTCAAATTTATTTGTTACGAGGGCCGATGCTGACATAAATGTCACTTTGTTGGGCTAGGGCCATGTCTGCTGTAAAATGTCATGTCGGGTACCAGAGATATAAACTTGATAAAGGGCACAGGCAAACCCAATTAGTAATACTATTTTTTACTCAAACAAAATGTGTTCGTGTACATTACATAGACACGGAGCTGCGGTGGCTCAAGTGGTTAAGACGCTGAACTGCAGGCTGTGGAAGGTCGGTCGTTCAGCAGTTCAAGACCCGAGTTGCCGCATGATGGAGTGAGCTCCCGTCTCTAGTTCCAGCTCCTGCCAACCTAGCTGTTCGAAAGCAAGAAATTGCAAGTAGATCAATAGGTACCACTTCGGTGGGAAGGGAACAGCGTTCCGTGCGCCTTGGTGTTTAGTCATGCCGGCCACATGACCACGGAAACGTCTTCGAACAGCGCTGGCTCTTCGGCTTTGAAACGGAGATGAGCACCGCAACCCTAGAGTCGGATTCGACTGGCTTTCGAGCAAGGGAACCTTTACCTTTATATTACATAGTATAACATGTGCTAATATATACTTGGCCCTGACCTCAATAGTCCCAGCCAGCCCGATTTCATCAGATCTTGGAAGCTAAGCAGGGTCGGCCCTGGTTAGTATTTGTACGGGAGACCACAAAGGAAGTCCATGGTCACATCGCAGAGGAAGGCAATGGCAAACCACGACTGTTCATCTCTTGCCTTGAAAACCTACTGGGTTTGCCATGACTTGGCCGCGACTTGGTAGCACTTTTCACCACCAATATATACTTGAAAGAGGCTACAAGACTAAATCCTAAAGCTGTACATTAAGTAAGCATGGCTCATTGATTGCATTTGGTGTCCAGCTAACCCAGGTCAGTTTACAGTTGGCTATATCTGTGTGTGTGTGTGTGTGTGTGTGTGTGTGTGTGTGTGTGTGTGTATATATATATATAATATATTTAAATTGGGTCACAGTTTTTTCTCTCCGTTGCAGATGTTGGTGTGTATGAAAATCACTGGGCTGGGGAGACATTACTGCAATCAACATATACTAGTCAGTTATTGAACCTCGGGAGCTGCTTAGCTATCCATCCAAATGAATGTGAGGATTAATAATTGCATGATGATGTATTTTCTCATGATCCCAGCTGAATGTTTACTTTAGTAATTTAAACTGAGTGTTCTCAAAAACGGTATCAAAATAGTTGGACCAAGTCACTCCCCTTTCTAGTAATGTGTGTATCCCTCAAAATAAATGAAGCAAAGTATGTGGAAAGAGCACTAGAGTGTGTGCAGTCCTGGACTCTCATTTGCACCCCTCCCTGTTTCCCTGCTTTGAGCTCCCCAGTTGCATATATGGTTGCCCGCTGGCCTGGAGAAAAAATGTTGCATCCCTTTGAGAGAGGCTTAAATAGGGCTATTTTGGGGCAGGAACGCACAGGAACGGAGTTCCGGCTGGCTCCCAAGTTGGCCACGCCCAGCAGGAGCTCATTAGCATAATAGGCCACACCTAACATCAGAAACTCATTAGGATTGGCTACATTAGGGGTGTGTGGCCTAACATGCAAAGAAGTTCCTGCTACAAAAAAAGCCCAGGGCCACAAACAGAGTAAACAGAATAAGAAGCAAAAGGTGAGTGTGGTAGCATGGGGGTGTGGTCTAATATGCTAATGAGCTGTGATGTCAGGGGTGTGACTTAATATGCTAATTAGTTTCTGCTGTTGGGTGTGGCCTATTATGCTAATGAGTTCCTGCTGGGCTTTTTCTACAAAGGGGCTTAAAGGATGTTATTTACCTCCAAACCACAAAAAGCTTAAACTGCCCATATCCATGTATCGAGTCTCTCTTAAAGTAACGGAACATTTGGCAACTCTAGTAATGTATGCCCCTGGCATAACATCAGGTTTTTCTGTATCCTGGGATCTTTCTGAAGCTGCTCTCCTTATTGTTGTCTCATTGATACCAATTGAGGACATCACGTTCACAGAGGTGATATATGCAGTTGAATTCAGTATTGGAATGGATCATACATCTTTTAGGGGAGAGGCTGCGGCTCACTGGCAGACCCTTGAGTCAATCCACGCTCAGTCTAATAGTCTTTTCATGAAAGCTTCATTAGAAACAGGGATTTAGATGTGCACAAGAGAGATCTCTTGTTCAGACTAAGGAATAGATCAAGGGTTAGGCATTGTATAGGTAATAGATCAATGTCCCATAACGCAATGGTCATGCAGCGGGCATTCACTCCCCCACCCTCTTTCACTCCCCCTGCATACTACCCCGCACTACAAAGTTTATTATCTCCAAGGACGAGAGTCTCTTGGGGCTCGTTCTCATGGGAAAGTCATTACCAGCTAAGCTAACCTGACACCCGCATACACACATACAGATATATGGCATTCACAACTACTCCCCCCACCACCCCTCGGAGTCTTTAAGGCAGAGAGGGCTGGCAAGGGTTGAGACCAAATGGTCGGGAAAAAACGAAAGCGAACTACAAAGACAGAAACAAAGAAAACATTAGTCAACATGACAATCAGCAGAGCCCGATCCTGACAGGCTCACTGGCAGAGCATCTGCTTGGCATGGAGAAGGTCCCAGGTTCAATCCCCGGCATCTCCAGTTAAAAGGACCAGGATGCAGGTGATGTGAAAGACCTCCGCCTGAGACCCTGGAGAGCCTCTGCCAATCTGAGTAGACAATATTGACCTTGTTGGACCGAGGGTCTGATTCAGTGCAAGGCAGCTTCATGTGTTCATATGCTGAGAGTAGGAATGTCTTGGGCACAGAGTGCTGGATAGGAAAAGGCAGGGCTATTTTTGGGCAGGAACGCACAGGAACGGAGTTCCGGCTAGCTTCAGAGCTGGCCACACCCACTACAGCCAAAACCTCTGCGTGGGTGGCTACAGAGGGAAGGCCTAGAGAGTGACCCCCCCGGCCACTCCGAGGCGGGCAGGCTGGGGGCCCCCTGGAAGGATCGGGGAGGCATTTAAATGCCTCCCCGTGCCTTCCCTGGCCGGCTTGCCGCAGGACGCTCGGGCAAACCAAGGGAAGGCATGGGTGTGGCCTAATATGCTAATGAGATGTGCTGTCCAGGGTGTGGCCTAATATGTTAATGAGTTCCTGCTGGGCTTTTTCTACAAAAAAAGCCCTGGGAAAAGGAGTTGCCTGAACCGGGCCAATACGATTGCAAGAAAAATTCAGCATTTTCCCTCAGTAAATGTTACACTAAAATACTGATCATGGCATGCATGACTTCTGAGATTACCTTTGTGTATAAAAAAGTACAACCTGTATGCCTCTATTTCCCAATAAGCATTGGCGAAGCTTAGCAAGAGGTCGTTTGCTCTCAAATTCTTATATGCAAGATACAGCATGTCACAGTCTATGTGGCAAAAAATAAGTGAACTTTTATGTGTTCTTTTCAAAGTCTCCCACGTAGTGGACATTAATGTTCTCCGGGAGCTGCTAGTGTACGTGAAGTCCAGGCACGCCTGTTTTCAAGCTCTCCCCCAAAGGGAGCCACAGAGACTCAACAGCGTACAAAACGTTCTCCTAGATCAACTCCAAGCCGATACGTTGGTGCACTCCATCCTGAGAATTGTTGACATCACTGTGCTAACAGGTCAGTTGAATTTTAATGGTATCGTTCTCTGTTCGTGTTCCAAAATTTATACACTGGGGTTGCGAGTAGGGGGTGGGGGGTGATTGAAAGGGAGTCGATAAAAGATAGCCCTCTGGCTGCAGATTTCACAAACAAAAGACTGAACTCTGAAATGACACTTCTCTGCTTTTATCTCCCTTAACCGAAAGGAGCTAATAAGCACTTTTGAATACACTTCAGATAGGAAGATGTCCCAGCACTAGGGAGGCCAGCCTCCAGGTGGGACCTGGGAATAACCCGGAATTATGGCTCATCTCCAGACTACAGAGATCAGTTCTTCTGGGGGAAAATGGATGTTTTGGACTCTATGGCATTGTATTTCCCTGAGGTCCCTGTCTTCCCCAAGCCCCATCCCCAAATCTCTCGGAGTTTCCCAACCTGGATCTTGCAACCCTATCCCACCATCCCCCACGGTAGCCAGGGGGAGGGACCTGGCAACCCTACCCAGCACAGAAATAGTTATATCAAATCTGTTCTTCAGATGGGGCAGTTGATTCAGAGGACATCGGAAGTCTTTTGTGTAAGAGAAAGGGCATGAAAGTCTTGCATTATGAGTCCACCCAATATCTTCTTACAAAATCATTTTGATTCTGCTGTGTGAGTTGTGCTTATCGCCATACGCTGTATCTGGTGCACCACACAGTGGGAACCACTGTTCCCTCTAAGCTGAGTGAGTGTGAGCTAGCTCACAGTTTTTTTTAGCCTCCAGCTCTCACATTTTTTGTTTTAGCTCAGGAAGGACGGCTCCAGAGCAAACTAATTTATGCAGCAGCCAAATGGCTCACTCACAACTTTAATGCCAGTAGCTCACAAAGTAGCTCACAAGAGTCCACAGCTTAGAGGGAACATTGGGGTCATTTCCTGCAGGAGCGCACAGGAGCGGAGCTCCGGCAGTAAAGAGCCCAGGAGGCGGGCACATGCAACAAGCCCCACCCCCTGCTCCCAGCAGCCCTCAGTCAGAGCAAGAAGCAGCCAGGTAAGTTGCAGAGCTTCCCCCGGCCCCCCGGTCGAAAACAGTCCAGTGGCACCTTTAAGACCAAGTTTTGTTCAGGTACAAGCTCTCCCTCCTCTGCGAGGGCAGATCTGCATGTCCTCCTCCCCCCCACCCAATAGCTGGCAATCCAAAACAGTCCAGTGGAGCCTGAGTGGTGGGTGTTGCCTTCTGACACACTTCTGGTGATGTCAGGGGGTGTGGCGTATGCAAATAAGTTATGGTAATGAGTTATGCTACCTCTTTTTCTACTAAATGACCCCTGGTGGTAACAGTAAGACAGCTTACATGGTTAGACACAGAATGTGAGCAGAGAATTGGAACCCTCTGCCTTAATAATTGACACAAAGCTGGGAAAGCTCTTACTGTAATTAATGCTTGACCGGAATTACTGACATAAGGTGGCTCTTTCCCAGCACAATCCTAAGCAGAGTTACATCTGTTGAAGTCAAGGGGGCTTAGAAGGGTGTGACTCCAGTTAGGTTTTTACCGTTAGTGAGCATGTGTTATAACAGATTTCCTTTGCCTGTTCCCCTTTTACTGCTCCCAGAATGGTTTCTTCTTTTTTGCTGGCTTTCTTATCCCCTTATCTAGTGGTGAGAGTCACACAGTGGATGATTGTGTCTGACATTCGAAGCCCAAGGTGTTTTGTTTTAAACAGACTGAAGACCGATGATAACTAAATACTGATTTTAAAATCTGATCATGTCGTACTGCAAATGCAAAATTGTGTGCTGTATTGACATATGTTAGTAAAACATAATTCTGCCCCTTTGGCCTGTTTATAACACACAGTTCTCTGGCCAGGAGGATACACTGTACCACACATTGTCCCTTGTGCCAAAGGAGGCTGCGGTATTTGGTTTCTCAAACAATAACACTTTTAATTTAGAAGAAGGTTTTATTCACAGTCTATGACCAGAACATAAATCACAGACAATAAAATGCCTCATTGGGGCTATACAACAATAATAAAATCATTCACAGCACAATTTGAGCAATGCCTCATGATAAAATCATTCGAGATACGGTAGAATACTACAGTGTCTAGTAAAAAGTTTGAAATCTCAACAATCCGCTACTTGAGCTGCTACAGTTTTCCTATGCCTTGCAGCAAGCTAGGCGAATCTAGCCACCTGGTAAGTAAGGTTATGGTGCCTTTCTGAAAGAAAGCTCCTCAGACGGCACGATCTCTGTCTGCTGTTTAAAGGTAACGACACAGGCAGAGGAAGGGATTCACGGATATTATTATACACCTTACAGTTGAACAGGACGTGGTCTAGCGATTCTGTGCCTTCATTACAGCAGGGGCAAATCCTTACTTCACAGGATATCTTTTCATACTTTCCTCCAAGGACAGCTGAGGGAAGTGAGTCACAGCGCATTCGCGTGAACACTCTCCTATACTCTTGATTTAATAGGCGGGAAGGGTAAGGCATAGGGCAGTGGTGGCGAACCTATGGCACGGGGGCCAGAGGTGGCACTCAGAGCCCTCTCTTTGGGCACACGTGCCATTGCCCGTGCCATTGCCCCAGCCAGGCCCAGACCATCATTAAAGTGTCGAATTCTCTGCCAAATAATTTTAAGTAAATTAAAGCATTTGGGATTGCTTTCCTTACTTTGTTTGGATCATCTTAACTTAATGTGTGAGTTGTTTTTGCTAAAGTAAAACCTCAGTATTCAGGTTAAATTGCCGTGTTGGCACTTTGCGATAAATAAGTGGGTTTTGGGTCGCAGTTTGGGCACGCGGTCTCTAAAAGGTTCGCCATCACTGCTATAGGGGTTACCTTCATAGTCGGTTCCAGACAAAGTCTCTCCATATTCTATTCAAATCCACTGTACCGCTCGTTGTCCCTTGTGCCAAAGGAGGCTGTGGT